GTATGTATGTATGTATGTATGTATGTATGTATGTATGTATGTAATGTATGTATGTATGTATGTATGTATGTATGTATGTATGTATGTATGTATGTATGTATTGTAATGTATGTATGTATGTATGTATGTATGTATGTATGTATGTATGTATGTATGTATGTATGTATGTATGTATGTATGTATGTAATGTATGTATGTATGTATGTATGTATGTATGTATGTATGTATGTAAATGTATGTATGTATGTATGTATGTATGTATGTATGTATGTATGTATGTATGTAATGTATGTATGTATGTATGTATGTATGTAATGTATGTATGTATGTATGTCGGTAGGTAGGTAGGTATGTATGTAATGCATGTATGCATGTATGTATGTATGTATGTATGCATGCATGTATGTATGTATGTATGTTTGTGTGTATTGTATGTATGACATGTATGTATGTATGTATGTATGCATGCATGCATTCATGCATGTATGTATGTATGTATTTCCCGCAAAAAAAACACGGTTTTTCCAGCGTTTTCGCAAAGAGGACGTCCAAAAACATTGAGTTTTTCCAGATTTTCGGCAAAAGGATGCATGAAGCCCAAGCCAGCAAAAAAGCCGGCAGGGGGAATCGAGCCTGGGACCCCTGTTTTGCGACACCGGCTCCCCGAAGACTACGTTTAGTGGAACGTCATCAAATTGCCGCGCGGTACGTGGGGGACCCCCCCCCCCTCCCCCCCCGTCCGTACGTTCCCCCCCCAAAAACCTACGTAATAGACGTCGGGCGGGGGGGGGGTTAGGGGGGGGTTAGGGGGGGGGTTATCCTCTATCCTCTAGTAAGTATCCGACACGCCGAGCAATGTCGGGATTTGATCCTTCGTGCGTTTGCCAGACGGTTCCCCTTGTTGTTTGCAGTGTCCCGCTACACGTTGCGATGTTGGAAAATCCGGGTTGACAACCCAGCATACTCAGTAAGCAAAGGGTATCCCAGGGAAAGGAGGTCAACGGCCCATGGGCTGTCGAGTGTGGGGACTTACGACGAGAGCGCTGAGCCAAACGAGCAAGTTTCTGGGCCTCACGCTTTTCTGGAAGACCATTTTAGTGAAAGGCGCAAAGCTTTTTCTGGGCAATCCACAAAGGGAAGTGAGTTCTAGGGTTGCTTCGGTTCAAGGTTGGTTGGACAAAGCTACGAACATGGCGACACCTCGGGAGTGCAGCACAGGGCTCCATGTGGATCATGTTCATACATCTTCAGCTTGCATAATCATTTCCGGAGTTTCCAGTTGCATAGCGTTCACGTCGTCGATGCGAGACTGCGCCTTTTCTCTCCGCCGCCGTTTCAGTGTTCTCGTCCGTTTCGCGAAAGGTTCCTTAAGGTCTCAGAGGTGAGCCTTTTTCTCCCAATGACTCCATCCGTTTCTTGAGAGAGATCAACGAGGTCACTAAATGCGACAGCCAAAGTTCGACACGTGCCGTCTACTTCGGTTCATTGGGTTGGCATCCGCATCCATGCGAGCCAAGCCGGGGACGTCAGTCATCGAGCGTTTTTTTTTTTTTTTTTTTTTTTTTTCTGTTCGAGGGTATATACCCCGTTTTTTGTTGTGGTTTTATAGGAACACCGTGAGGGAGAACACAATTTTGGGGGGTCCGCAAAAAGAAGGCAACGAGTTTCCTCTTAGTTATGGAAACATCCGGATGCATTCACTCCTGATTCACATGACAATTCTTATAGTTTGTCAGACATGGAACCCATCCCTTGGACCCATCCTACCAGTCTGTGCAGTGGGGACCCATCCCCCGGCCTTCCGGCAACATAGGAACCTGGCTGAAGTTTCTTCCTTCCAGGTGTTTTTGGAGGGGAGGGAGGGCGGGAGGGGTTTGGACCAGTTGAGACGGACCTTGGCTAGCCTAAGAAGAACCACCAAGTCTGATGGCAAGGTAGACAGAGTCGCTATTGAGTGCTATTGGTCCCAATCATCTCACCTTGTTCGGCTGCCTTGAAAAGCCTTGGCTATGGCTCAGCATCAGCTGAGGGAGCAGCAGGGGAAAGTGACAAAAGCGGCCATGCTCGGAACGCCAACCTTTTCTTGTGGTTGGGATGGGCCCTCAGGGATTTTAGACCACAGGGATTTCACGAAGGGCCCAGGCACCTTGGCACTCATGGCACATGGCCATCAAAGCTGTGTCCAGGAAGCCTCCAACTTACAGCAAGGGGATTGTGGATACGGAGGAATTCTCGTTTCGGGGTGAAAAAACACAGGGATGGTTGGGGGCCCCATTTCCGTACAGAATAAGGGAAGTTTGGGAGTCGGACTTTCCTTTTTGGGTTCCTTCCGATTGAGGGAGTATCACGCCATGGCGGATGAACAGGAGGGGATCGTCGATTTCAGCGGGACTGGTGATGTCCAGCACTTGTTCCATCCGATTCCTTCAAAGTGATCCAGTCATGAGAATGACCCAGCTTGGTATCACAGACATTTCGGATGACATGTTTTCTTGTTTTTTGTTTTGGTGAAAGTCGTTTGGCTCAAGCTCAAGTTGGGTAGGCCGTTGTACAGCAGCACAACTGGAATTCGGTTTTTGTACAGCCATGAGTTCCGTGCTGGTCTACGCCGCCCGCCGAGCGCATGTGGCTCGGACGGTTGCATTCGGCCCGGTTGGGATGTTTGTGGCTTGTTGCGGGGAGCCACTGGTTTGGGGGGGTTCCCCTATGTTGAGAAGTTGATTCTCCGGGTATCTGCAAATGCCATGGACAGGGGAGAAAGGGTGCCCAAAAAGAAACACACGCCCAGAACAAAATCATCTTTGAGCTCGTTGCTGCGACTGGGGTCAATCCTTAGGACCACCAACGGCACACACCAAGTGTTCGGCAGGGTTGCACGCTCCTTAAAAGACCGATTGGTGTGTTTCCTATTGGCTTCCCTAGAAAAAAAACACAACGGGGGTCTACACAAGACACACCCATATGCAACCTGAACGGGACCCTCAGAGGTTCCATGTTTGTTTGGGGGTTCAGGTTCACTTCCCAGCCCCGCTCAAAAGGCCCTATCAAATGAAACCCAACACAAGCATTAAAAGGATACTAATCTAAGAGTGCACTGGAATGAATTAACAGTATCATGGACGCCAGCTAATTACAGGAAATTCCGCAGGAAATTGGCCAACCACCCACCAAAAACAAGGATGTCCTGCAGATGTTCCTTAAAAAAAAAGGGTCCAAATCCTAAAACAAGACACACCCATACCTGTTTTGGGAATGGCTTTCCTTTTGGTTTCTCTTCCCCACCTTCTTTGAGAGCCCGTAGGTATGCAAAACATGACAAACCACACATCCTGTGATAGGAAGGGAAGCAGACATCCGTCAAACAGAGAGGGACCTCCAGAATAATTCCCGGACCCACAACAGAAGAGGTTCTTTTTTGGGAGGGTTGGGAAGGTTGACCTTCAACGGCCGCAAACAGTCCACCAAGATCCCATTGCCATGGTCAAAGCTCCCAATGTGAGTCATGGCTCCCCTCTCCCCTTGATCCCTCCTCCAGTGGCTTTCTTCAAAATCGGGGTCTCCTAAATGGCAACGGTTTACCCAAAAGATCCCATGCCGTTGTGGCTTTCAATCTCACCTTTGGCCAACTTTAGGTAAGTTTCCTTTGACTGCGATACTTCGAGGAGAAATAGGGAACCCTGTAGAAGCTCCCAAATCAAGAAGCCTGCCTGCTTGCACCATTTCTATCCTTCATGAACCAGCTGGTCGCAGTTCTCGCGGATGCTAAGCTTGTCCCAAGACTTGGCCTGCCTTTGGTAACCCAGACCCCGGAGAAAAACGGATCGATTGTTGCTCCCTCCCTTCAAAACCTGAAAGTGCGCAAAAAGCAGAGGCCCCGAATTCCATATGCCCTATAACTCCCTGAGTTGCCGGAGGATGTCGGCTCGCAGGAAGGCAAACCACTCCTTGGTTTCGATGGACCCCTGGATCGCCAGTTGCGGTTCTTCTTGTAGATGTGCAAAAGAGCGGTCGCACAACTTGGGGCGATCTAGGTCCGGATTTTTGGCTGACTCCAAATTGGTTCTGGCGTCTTCGCGCCCTGGCGACCACTTTCGTAGGTGTTGGCAATGTCGGCAAACGGTTGCTGCATGGACAGATGATCAGTGAATCAACCATGAACTGCAGGAAGGTCAGAAAATCGACCACCATGAGCTATTCTCGAACATATCACAAAATGTTCCATGAACTCCTGGAAGGCGCAAACGAACAACCCACTTTGGTCTTGTCAGGACAAGGGCGGCAAGTCCTGCCTGGTGCTGGCGCCTGCGCGGCACCTAGCCGCTGGTGGGGGCGGCTTCGCGCGCTTCGCGCGCCTGGCGGCGGGCCAGGCGTTGCTGAGCTTTGTGCGGGAGGCGCGGTTTTCGCGCTGCGAATGCGGGGGGGGGGGGGGTCAGGGGCGGGGGGGGGGGGGTCAGGGAAAGGGGTCAGGGGGAGAGGGGGTCCTTTCCAGGGAAACCGCCCGGAAAGAAACATGTGGGTCATGGGCAGGGGTCCCCGAAAATAGAAAGAAACCCTTTGCCATGGTTGTGTACAAGCCAAGTGCTTAGAGGGTATAAGCCCAAATATCAAGGTGAACACGGGGACTTGTAGGTTTGTTGTAGGGTTGCCAACATCGTACTAGCTTTTCCCGAACACACAAGGGGATTCAGTTGGCCACCATGAAAGCCCTGAAAAAAGTTTGGGCCGTGGCTGCATGTAATGTGGCCCATTTTGGCTGGCCTGTAAGAAAAGGCTGGATTTTAGTTCCTTGTGGCTATTCCCTGGGATTCAATCCACCATTAAAGCAACTGTTGGGTTATGGCTCCGAATTTGAAGAGTTGGAACCAGCTCAAACGTGGCAGGACTTGAATTTGCTCCGAATTCAGATGTCCACGATTTTGGGTATGGTGTTAAACACATGTCACACCCGTACAACCATTTACCGTTCAGGAGTTTCACTATCTAAATGGGGCGAGCCATTCTTTTCATGTGGGTTGAGGCTTGCAGGTTCCTCGTCTTTCACTTTGTCTGAGCTTGAGCCTTGCTCATGCCAGGTTTCACTGAGGTTTTGTGCCCTTTGCACATCTGGCGGGGCATCCGGACAGAATGGTGTTGGGGCTTTTAGCAGAGCTTCCCTATCAATTCCTCCAGGTTTGCTTTTGGTTTCCCTAACCCATCGGTCCAAAACAGAACCCAGCCGAGACTTTTTGCAAGCACTTAATATGAAACACTACAAATGTGATCCGCTGCTTTTTGCACAGAGTTGGGTCGAGGAAAAAGCTTTTTCCCTTCCCCATTTCGGGGATCATAAGGACCCCAGAATCAGAAGCTCTGCATTTTCAGGTAGCTCTGCAGGTATGGATGCTCCGCTGTAATCTTGCAAGGCAGTACCCCTTTAAGTGGGGGAAAAGCAATGTTAGACCCCATAAACCAGCATTACAGGTAGTATCCCATGGTACCTTCTAGTAATACCTTATGTACCAATGAAATCTGCTGCTTTCTCAGCAACCTTCATACCTCCAATACCTGAAAATAGGGACTTCCTCACATTCTCCGGAGCTGGTCCACCTCCATGGGGGTTTCAAGAGCATGGGTTTTCTCGTGGCACAGGCCCTAAACCGGAGCTTGTGCACTTCCATGTAGGGTAGATGACTTTCCTTGGGTCGGTGGTGTGTTCTAAGGGTTGATTGCCCATCTCTTCACACATGGGTGTGGCGCAAAATTAAAGAGCTAGGGTTACGCGGTTTTAGTCTTTAAATTGTTTTCATTTACCAGCGCAACCCATTTTGGGTACCCATTTTTGACCCACAGCCACATTGTTCTCGCTGGAAACCAGTCATGTTCCCGGGGGACTGATTTTTTTGAAGAAGCATTCCTGAAGAGAATGGGGGAAGGTGCGGCTAGTGTGGGTTCGGGCTTGGCAGCTTTCGGCCTGGCAGCTTTGGCGGTCGGTTGGCTTGGTTTGGGCTAGTTTGGAGGGGAGCAAGCACTTTCGACATGAACGGCTTTGATCAGGTCATTGGGTCATTGGAAACAAGAAAGCGACGTACAGGGCCGGGTGGGACTGTTCATCTCTTTTTCGAGGGACACGCAGAAGCACCCCCTTTGATGGTACTTGCAAGCCTAAAATGGCTTGGCCCCCTTATTTCCCTAAGAGGCAAGCCCCTTGCACTGGTCAGTAACCCTGATGCCCATGCAAATGGCGAGTTCCACTCATTCACGTGGTGGTTTTCTCACCCAAGACTAAAAAGTTTCAGGAAACCTCTTTCCAACAATCATGGAAGTGGACAGCTGCCGGTCTTAAGAGGACTTCCAACACCCGCCTGTTAGCTTGGGAGGCCTTCTCCAAATTACTTTCGGGGGCGGTTTCCCTTCAAGCCACTTTGAGGGAAATTCTGAGGGAGTCTCTCTCGAAATGGACGCCAGACCCCAAGAAGTTGAAGCGTCCTCAAGAAGATCACGTATGCAGCTGGTGAAGATGGAGTTTCATTTGGCCACAGCGCCTCTTTTGAGGAAACCCCTGTCTGGCATGCGCTCTTTTGGATGCGCGATTCCATTTGCTGTAAGGGTTGTTTGTCACAGGATGCGCGGTGCAGATGAACATGGTACGCCCAAGACCATCTTTGTGAGAGAAAAGCATCCGGTGGAGGGTGTTAATTCGCAGGGGCTTGGAGTCTCTCTCTCTCTCTCTGTGAGAGTGTGGTGTTTGCGGTACCATCTTCACCATTTGCTTAAAGGGGAATCGCCATTTGTGATGTCCACCGATATGATCATGCACGGAGGCGAACCAAACCATCCACACCATCCCAACCAATCCCAACCAATCCCAACCAATCCAAACTAATCCAAACTAATCCAAGCCAATCCAATCCATCCACACCAAGAAACCAACTCAAGTCTTTGACCAAAAGCCCCGACGAATTCTGGCTTTGTCGCGACCTGAATTTGGGCTGACTGCTCGGATGTCCAAGCCACTTAGCAGATTGTAGCCATGGATTGAGGGAACGGGGGGTAGTGAACAGACAACCCTCGTTTTACCAACTAAGCTGAAAGATCCAAGAGCTCAAACACGTGGCACGTTTTTGTTTGAACATCGCACTTTCTTTCAAGCCCCTATTGAGAAAACCAATGTGTCACTCTGGACACTGCGGGCCTATTTCGCAATCTGGTGTTTGGGGTTCGATGTTTAGTGCCCTCAGCGTCCAGTGTCCAGAGGGTCTATATTACAATCTGTGTTTTTTTTTGTGCCCTCTGAACACTGAGGGTCTATTTTACAATCTTGTTTTTTCTTTTTCCGGGGGAAGGCTTTTGACCTCAACAATCAGCGATGGCATCCGTGGCATCCATCGGCCAGGTGCTGCGGGTGGTGGAGGAGGTGGAGGGCTGGAAGGACTCGCACGCCGTGCCATGGGTTCAGCGCAGGCACTCCTCGCAAAAAACCAAACGGAAACACGGAGGGAAGGAAGAAATGGTCTCCAAGCCATTATCAGTTAGTTTCTAGTTGGTTTGGATTGGTGATTTGAACCCCTGGTTGGGTGGAATTGCAAATGGGGAATCCCCCACCCAAAGGCAAGAATCGCTGCGAGGTGGATTTTGTGCCCATGCAACAATGGTGCGGCTCGCCAAAGACCTGAGAGCCAAGCGCCGGGGCAAATATGTCACGTCTTCGGATTCGAGTGGATCGCCATGACACGCGCCTCATGCACCAATTCAGCGCGTAGGTCAACTGGTTGCATCCAAATGACTCAAATCTCTGCGGGCCAAGAGACAAACTTCTGTGAAGGGGACACCCCGTGGTCATCTGTTTCATATCCAGTCAACTTTAAGGTATGACCAGGTCCTGAGAAGACCCCTTGAACAATTTCCGGACCATTCTATAACCCCAAGTCTAAGTGGGGTTGGTGGTTTGGGATGGACAAAGCCGCATGAACCAGCCATTGGAGGGTCCCTCACCTTGAGACCAATCCGAATGGGCGGCTCGTCCTTCTTGTCTTTGCGGGGTACCCTTTTGGTTGGTTAAGGAAAACCAAAAGGACAACTCATTGCATTTCACTATTGGGACCCTCACTATTTTGAGAACATTTCTTTTGCAAGGGATCAATGAACGAAGAGTCGTCCGCGGGCCCATCTCTCTCGCTCGCTCGCCCTCTCTCTCTCTCTCCCTCCCTCCCTCCCTCCCTCCCTCCCTCCCTCCCTCCCTCCCTCCCTCCCTCCCTCCCTCACTCCCTCCCTCCCTCTCGGAATTTTCACAACAAAATGGGGTGCGAATCCAACATGTCCCAGTCCTCTAGGGTAACCGCATGTCTCCTAAGTGGGCAAGCGGCATCTCGCATATGCTCGAATCCGTTCTGAATCTCTGGTTTTAACCGGTGCAAACATCAAGCTGTAAGAGAGCCCTGTTTGGTTCCGGTGTTGCGAACTTGATCGAAGAACAAGTATTTGCCAGAAAAAGGGAATGGTCTTCCAGGGCCCCCCCTGTCAGGTTCCATGTTAGTTGGTGGCAGGGTATTTTTGAAAGCCACTAACCCCCCTGCTCCAAATACCTTGTTTTTCAGGGTAACATGTCGACCCTCTACAACAAAAAAACAGGAATTTACCATGCAAAACCAGGTTTTCCCACAAACACCCTGAACCAAACGGGTCTTTTGAGCAGGGGGAGCATATCAAAGAAGCGCTTTGGCCTTCAGGACTACCATCTGCGCGTCGTCGCTGGAGGGCTGCCTCCCCCGAAGCGCGGGCAGCCGAACCCCTGCTCAGAGGAGCTGGCGCGGTGTGTGAAGCATGCAGGCGGGTTGGGGTGAAACCAATGGACGCTTAGGGTCTATCGTGCAACCTCCTTATCGTTTTTTGTTTTCGTTGTTTCTCCATGATTTTCGTTATTTTCTTATTCTTCTTTTTTGGCATTTTGTTTCCTCTGGGGTTGAGTTCGTGCCGGGAACCCAACCGGCTTGCGTTTTCTGTTTGGTGGTTTCCCTGTCCAAGATACAAGGGGTACCCTCACAACACACAAACACAACCACAAACACACTTACAAAGAAAGAAAGAGACAAAGACAAAGACAAATACAGCCAGAACCACAAGCAAGCAAACACAAGCAAGCGCAAACACACACGGAAACACAAAGATAGACCCGCCTAACTGTTGTTCAAGCATCCAGCCTTTCCTGAGGGGTCCATGGCATGGTGCTTCAAAGCAATGCCCAATCCAGCGGCAACGCGTGGCGTTTTTTTCTTCTTTCTTTTTTCCCCCCTTGTTTTTTCTTCTTTCTTTTTTAATTGGGGGGGTCTCTTTTTTGCGTTTTTTTTTGGCCGGGGGGGGGGGGGCTTTTGCCACATATTTGCAATTGAACAAGATGCCCGTGCTGGAAAAGCTGCTTGCATGCAGAGTTGACAGGTTGGATTCCCTTTTTTCCCTTTGACTGCCAGAAGAGGTGCCCCACCATATTCCCTTGAAGCCACCTGTGCCAAGCTATACAAGTATATCTTCAGAGCAGAGTTCATGACATGATGACATGATCGTTTCCCTTAAGTGGCGCCCTTCAACATGCAGTCGGGCTGGGGTACAGGAGAATCTGCACCACAACAAAAAACAACGCTTTTCGCTTTTGGGCAACATGCCCTCCATTGGCTTCGTGATGTCCCTCGCTCCCTCCCTCCCCTCCCTGCCTGTCTGTAAACGACGGAAGGCCCCGGGCCAAAGGGAAAACCACTACTTTTGGGGTCCCCCATTTTAAGACACACCTAGTTCGAGCTCAGTTTCCAGTTCGCTGGCTTGGGAGATGTGTTTTGGGGGCCTTGATGAGTTTGAAGAGAAGTTTGGGGAGTTGTGGAGTGAGGTTTTCCACTGTACTTGCCGGTTGGGAGAACCATCCTTGTGGATTCTGCTGTGGAGACCCTAAACAGACCCGAAACAAGGGATCATATTGTAGTATATCATTTTATATCATAGAGCATACTATGATACTATATGTATGATATTTTGTCATATCATAGTGTATCATATCATAGCATAGTTCCAGTGACGCGCCCTAAATGTCCCAACAAAGCCAAGCCCTAAGTTTCTAATGTCCTGGACCTCTTGGGAAACGTTGATAGGAGGGTCTTGGGGGTCCTTTTTCGGCGGAACCGCCTGACCGAATTTTCGCCAAGGCTTCTCTGTGCTGGTGCTCACGGACGGCCACAAGCGAACGCCGGCAGGCGAGGGTTTGCTTTGGGTTTGCTTGACCACCACCACGGCATGCTGGATACAGCAGGTGAGATATTTTGCGGTGCCTTCGCGTTCTCTCTGCGTCGCAGGTCACCTTCGGTTCGCATCGATCCTCTGGCCATGACACCAATGTTTGGAAACCGAGATGAGGTTTGAACTGAACTGTGCTGATGTAAACATGTTTCTCGTAAGGGGGTCGGATGATCCAAGTTTTTTTCAGGTTTTGGAGTTATCAACAAACACATGCAGAAGTTTCTTTCGATCCTGGCATCGGCTTGATTCTGGTTGCTTATTTGTGGATTCCTATTTGGAAGCTACAGGCCGCGGAAAAAGCGTATCCATTGCCTCACAAGCTTCTGTCGGTGGAATATCAACCGCACCTCCAAACCCATTCGTACCTGTCCAGTTGTCAAGAGTAGCTTGAACACTGGCCAGGTGTCTGCATTCTTCTAGGGCCGAAGTCCGAGCTGGAGGGAACGGATCGCAGACAAGCAGGGGATGACCACCACTTACCAACAAGCAAAATAGGTTTTGCATGGAGCTGTCCAGGTTTCCTACCGGCTGAACGAACACAGGTTTCATCATAGTGAAGGTGCAACAAGTGTTTTTTCTTTTGGCCTTACTTTTGGCCAGCTCAGGTTTTTGCCTGAAGAAGACGGACAAAAAAAGCACGATTTGGCCACAGGTTTCGCCAGTCTCAGGTGAGTTCTCCTTGGGTGCCTCAAAAAGCAAATCGACGCTCAGACGCGGAGACCTTGCAAGACCTGGACGCGGCCATCGACTATGTGGACGCCTCGGGCACGCCGGGGGGCCTGGGGCCAGTCGTTTTTTTGTGGTTCGAGGATGCCCCGTGCCCTCTTGCTGCTTCTAACAAGGGCTTGGTACCATAGCGGCAAAGAGCATTTCTAGGGGTGCCTTCCATGTCCACTCTTTCTAGGGATCCTTCTTTTCTAGAAAACCTCCAGAATCCCAGGGAAAGCGGCTGGTTTTTGAATAGAACGATGGTTGAAAAGAATGGGGAATCAAGCCCTGCAACATTTTTCTGTGTGTGTGTCTTTCTGCTTTTTGGGTTTGGACCAGTGGCAAACAGAACGATTGCATCTTGTTGGCCAGTCCGCTCAGTCTTTGTTTGTGTGTGGAGGGTCAACAAACAACTGTACAGACCGCATCCCATCTTGCCGTCACTCCCCAAATGGATTTCAGTCCAATCACGTTTTGGGAGAAGGGCCAAAGAAAACTGCTTGGAAAGGGCCACCAAGCTGAAACCATATACAGGGCTCCGGTATGGTAGGAAGCCTCCAGGTGCGATGTTTGTGTGATGCTGATCGAGTGCATACCATGGGTTCTAGCTGGACCCACTTTCGGTGCTTGGTTTGGAAGGTACCCTTTGTGGGTTTGGCTTTGAGGGAACTCCAAAGGAACACCACCGTCTTGGCCCCCGGATTTGACACACACCAAACATGTGTCCCTTGGCAGAAATCGGAGGGACCACCTGGGGCCGAGCCCAAGTACTGCCGGTACCCGGAGACAGAACCGTGAGGAGTTCCAGTTGCAAGTGAGTTCGTGAGTTTGAGGTAGCCTCCCATCCAAAAACTATGGGAACCGAAAGGGGGGGGGTCCTGGAAGACCCTTTTCCTTTGAAAAAGGGCTCGGCGCTGATAATTTCTCTACATAGAGCCATGCAAAAATGGGCACCTGGGGGGCCCCGTGTCAGTGGACCAGGGGCTTAAATTGGCAAGATTCTTGTTAGGTCTGTTTCTGTGGTGTTTCTTCTTACATTAACTGCGAGCATCCAATTTGAGAAACCAAAAAGGGATCTGCCCTTGGTTCGCTGCCTTCAATTCAACGGGATCCCCCACAACAACACGGCCTTCACCACAAGGGGAGGGTTTCAAAGCCAGGCACTGGTTCGTTGGCTTCGAAAAGCCGGGATCCCCTCCCATAATAGAAAACCCAAAACCAAGGATTTTTTGTTCTTCTTCTTTTTTTTGGAAAACGACAGCGACGGGCTCCGGCCACGAGGGTTTGGCCCAAAGGCACGTGAAGCTGCCCATCACCGGCCGCGACCTCACCGTGATGCCGGGCCCGCGGGGCCTGGCCCGCTGCGTGCTCGACGCCCAGGCGCACGCAGTGGAGTGATAGGGAAAGCCGCGGGGGAGCCGCTTTTTTTTCTTTCAGGTTGTCCCGTTTTTTTTTCTTCTTCTTCTTCTTAGTGTACCTTGGGAGTCAGGAAATGGAATCCTGGAGTTTCCCATCTTGTTCCGGTTTCGTCCGCGACCAGACTTTGTGCTGGCGGTTGTTAAACATCAGTGAAAAGGTGAGTGTCGCTTGGTGGGGGTGATCTTTTGAGGGGACATATAGGGAGTGTTTTCCTGCGGAGGGTCTGGGGGGGGGGGGGGCAGATTGGAGAATTGGGAGGCGGCAAGGGGCGATAGGGATGGTTTGGTCTGACAATGGGTGGCGACCTGAAAGCGCGGGGGGTGGGGGGGTGGGGGGTGGGGAGTGACCTAAATAGGCAGCCCACCGACGACATGTCTATTGAGGGCTTTAGGGTTGGGCCGACTTGTTGTAACATGTGTAACTGCCGTATTTCCCTCAGGAATTGGACGATTGGGCTGGTTCTTTGAACAATTGTTGCAACCAACCACAAGGGAGGGTTCTCTTTGTACAGACGGGTAAGTGAAGGTTACAGGTTCAAATAGGAGCGCATTCCACCTTTTTTTTATGTGTTGGGTAGACAATTTGTTCCATTACGACTCATATGAGCTTCGGTCAATATTTCCAGTTTGTGGAACATGTGCCTCACGATTTTCGTGCTTTTGGATAGCCTGTGAAGCTAAACGAACACCGGGCACGTCGCCAGGGACAAGTCAAGACGCCAAGGACGCTGTTCCTTCGTCTGTGTTTATTTAGCTGATGCTCGCATTCCTTTTGGGAAGGATCACACGTAGCAGCTTCATGTCTAGCAAAAAGGGCTTGGCAACTTGAATGGTGCAGGATTTCGTGAAACTAAATCAGCAGTGTTTGCCCGGTTTGCGGGAAATTCAAAGGACACCAACCTGTTTGTGGAGTCCCCGGATTTTGAGATCAGTCAATTTCGCGGTGAACATCTTTGGTTTGAGAAACAAACCCGGAGCCAATGCCAATGGCACTCTTTTTCCCTTGATTTGGGTATGGGTCAAAATTGAGCCTCCAGGATATGGACTAAAGGTTTTCGTCCGTGTTTCCACTTACCAGGGTTCAATTTTGGGTACCTATGTTTGACCCACAGCCACTTCACGCCTCCCTTTTCCCACGCTGCAGGCAGCTTGTGCCAGCAACTTTCATGCTGTGCATAAATTCTGCAGGTTCAGGCCGAAAATGTCGACAACATGGCAAACAGGACATAAATATGGAACAAAGTCACAACACAATTCTTTATGCTGCTCCATCTTCAATGTGAGAGTGCTTTCGTGATGCAGGTGATGCTGGCAATGCAGGTGATGCTGAGTCAAATGATTCAAGTGGTGCTAGTCATGCAGTGGGATGTACGCCATGTCTTTGGTTTTTGGTGGCATTCTTCTAAGGGACGTCCAACCAAGACGCCCATTTTACAGGTAAGTTGTTGGAACCTAGGTTGTAACTCACCCCCTCAATGGGTTAAACCTTGTTATACCCCAAGTGGCTAACCACGTTCAAACTTGGCCAAGCCCAAGTGATATTATCTTGACCGCACCTCCTCGTTTCTATGCATCTTCGGAAGCAGCTACCGGACGGACATCTTTCCAGTGACGCACAAGAGAAAACGGGGTCGATGAGCACATGTGCCATTTTGCTTGGGGGTTGGTACTGGTCAAGGACCCCAGATAAGACAGCCGTAGGGCTTAGTCATGTCTGTTTTCCATTCAGAACTCATCTGTTTACACTCCAACATGGGACCAAGTGACCCCAGAAAAGATCCTGTGGTTTTTCTTGAAATTGACAAAACAGTGGCACCTCAATAAAAGACACCCACGTAGAGATCTGTGCAGACGTGGCGGGCTGCCTTTAACATGCAGCCACATCCAACCACAAAAAACCTGGCATCCACTCGTAGTAGTTTACTGGGTTTTCCAAGCTCTTCTCCCTGCAATCTGGCATCCTTCGTGCTTGGGTGTTCGATTCGCCCCACTTAGAAGGTCCCCGTTCAGTGGGGTGAACCTTGTCAAAAGCGGGTCATCCCCCAAGTTGCTAACCACTCAACCAAAGTGGGCAACCGGATGGCAACCGGCAAATCTGCCAACTGACCAGCCAACCAAAAGGAAGTAAAGAACTTGAGGAAAGCGGCTGCAACGTGGCCCAGTTGAGCTCTTGCTATGTGTTGTGATGTACCCCCTTAATTCCACTATTGAAACACCGCTTTCCCACATGGGGTTTTCGGCCGCAGGCAAGGCCGATGCTGGTGGTGGTCTTCAATCGTTTCGCCACGTGGTTTCGGAAAAGCTGGAAGTCCCAAGCGAAAGGGTGGGCGCTTTGTGAAATCACTCCCATGGCCACCTTTTCGGACGCCAGTTGTCAACCTCCCTCAATCCCCACTCAAATTTATTGGGGGTTCCCTTCTTAGTGGGGATTTGTTCCTCCCGCAAGAAAAAACTGATTAATAACTGGGGGGAGTTTATTGAAGGGAAAACGAATGAGTCAGCCATCCCTATTTTGAGCAGAACCCGGCCTATTTGTCAACAACCAGGAGTTTGTTATTCTGGGCTTAGCATTATTGCAATTTACCCAGATTGAGTGGTTCAAGAAGGGAATGTTGTTGCCCCATTGTTGAGCTGAAGGACGACCCACCCTGGCCTTAGTCGATGGATTCGAATCCCCGCGTGTGTTTTCACTTCAAGTGGGTGCGTTTTGAGGGGTTCTCGCAGCTACTTTTGGTCCTGGTTGCTCTTTAATCCACCGTTTAGATGTGACAGACATCCTTGAAACACACCCTTTGAAGTTTCAATACTCGAACTGTTTTTGTTCGGTGTTTTTGTGTGTTTGGTTTACCATTGTTGGAGGATGTCTTAGCATGGACCCGCGTCTTCCGCCTTTTGCGAGCCCTCTCTGCGCGACTCCGACTCCGAGGTCCGGCGTCAAAGCGAGTGCTCGGACGAGGAGTTGTTGGAGCTCTGGACTTTGGCACTGGATGCCATTGAACAGCACCACAGCCAGGCGCGCTCCAAACACCTCGAAAGACGCTCCTATTTGAGCAGGGCTCCTTAAAAGATCGATATATTTTGCAACCACTGGAAACATGTTGCTTTTTCCACCACAATAAAGGGAAACCAGCATTTACAAGTTGCAACGTTCAGGTGTATAATGTAAGGATCCCTGTTGGGGGTGTTTTTTTTTGGCCAAGTTGCTTGGGTGGCTCGGCTACGCCATCCGGTTCCTGGGCTTTTTGGGGTTTTTGGTGTTTAGGGGGGACTTCCATTTAACTCGCTAAAAGTTGAACTTTTAGCAGGGGCTCTAAGGACCGCCCAGGTCAGAAAGTGGTTAGTGTAGGTTGTATTCTATCTACAAGTCCTCAAGTGAATTTAGCCTGCTGTAATGGGTTGCAATCTGGCCACTTAACTTGGCAACGAACACCCAAGCACCAAGCAGAATCGATGTCCTGTTTTCCCCGAGTGAACCTCCATCTTAGAAACTTCATGGGTTCAAATCCAACTCGCAACTTGTGAGAACTTTGAGACACCTGGTCTTCCATGGCAAATGCCTCCTTTCCTACAACAAAAACTGAGGCAAATCTTTAAAACCCGGGACATTGAAGGTTAACGGGGGAACAGTCCCAACCAATTTTCGATGCGGCCTTTGCAACTCAGAAGCATGTCTTGGAGCTGCTCCGAACCACTTTCTGTCGCCTCCAGGCAGACTGTGAGGAGTTGAAAACTCAGGAGTGTGACTGTTGGGGTGTGACTGGCCAAGCTTTGCAGTTGGCTTGAAGGGACACCACCGGGGAGCCGCAACGAATTTGGTGGATTGTCAGAAAGTTGTCTTCAAATCGAGGAACTCCCCAAACCAATGGCTTCCCTTTCAGCCAAGCTCTAAAAGGGTGGGAACAAGCCGCAGACCCATGAGGAGGGTAGCATCAAACAGACGCAGACCCATTTTCAGGAGGAGGAGCAGGACCCCTTCCTGGCCATGTGCATCAACGCCGGCAGCTTCCAAAACATCTCCCACCTTCACTTGAAGGTCTGGCTCAGCGGTCCGCGCCTGAGCGCGCGTCTCCGCTCGCTCGGCTTGCAAGCATGGAAGTGAAGTAGGGGACAGTCCCCCTTGCCATAAATGGGCGCGGCCGCTCCAATTCTTCAAATTGGTTTGGGTGGACCTCTTTACCAGGTTTTCACTTGCCTGAAATTGCCCCTACGCACGCCCTTTTTTGCTCATTAGGTTGCAGGCAAAGCCCCTCTTGGGCATGTGGGGTTTTCCAACCCCAAAGCACAGGGTGTCTTTGCAGAACACGCAACAAACAAAAAAACAAGGGTTGTGGGTTTTCCTTGTAGCTGGCCAACAGATGCCTCTATAGGTTGTCCCCACAGCCGGAGAATAGTCACCACTTAAACAGGGTTCCTTAAAGGACACATTTTGGCTGAATTTAAAAGCAGATTCTGCCAGCTGCTTCAAAGGGCTTCTACCTGTACCAGGTAATTTTTTACTGTCCTTCAAGGGACTCTGTTGAAAGGCCATTTTAGTCCGAAATTTCATCCACTCGGATACAAGCCAACCAAGGCCTCTCAAGTTGAAGCCGGACCTTGTGCGGGTCTGTCTCAAAATAGCGAACCGCTTGTTGAGGGAGCCAAATGGAGACTGGATTTGATCCCAAATTTTGAGAGAGACCCGTCTTTCAATCAACGACCAAGCGGATTCCTGAGGGAAGGGCTCGTTACACAGCAGCTTCCGTGCCCCCAAATGACCACGTGTAACTTTTCCCATGTGGTTCAGAATATGTTTGCTTTTCTTTTGTTTGAACAATTCCCAGTGGGTTTTCGAGGGAATTGATTTCACCACTGGATATATTGTTTTATATTGCTTCATATTTTTTCTAGGTGCGTATTCACAAATGGAAGGAACAGGAGGGTTTTTTGTATGGATTCGGAACTTCATTGCGTCCACTAAGAACAAGCAAACACCCAGTTGCAGGTTGGCATGCTCCACGAGCCGTCAAACTGGGGTCTCAGAACATTTCTAGTCTTTTTAAAGGTTGACGAAGGATGACTCTGAAGCTATTGCTCGTGTATCTCGGAGTCGGCCAAGCAAGCACCCCAGCAATCCCCAAACACGAGGGATTTGGGGGCGAATTCCTGAATGTCATGTGGCCTTGTTCGTAACTGGTGCTTCACTAAAACCCGAGGAATACTTGCTAATAAATCATCTACCGACTGATGCGAAGTGCGTCGTGTCCGTCCACAGCATGTCTTTCTTGGATAGTGGTTTGGGGGTGGAGATCGACGAACCTCAGCAATACAATTGGCACATGTATTTATATGCATATTATACATATCACCTTGGTGGTAGTTTTCTGCGAGATAGTGAACGCCGTGTGTGTGTGTTTCCCTTTTTCGATTGGTTTAAAAGGCCACCAACAGGAACGCCGAAATCCATGTTGCGGGTCCAACTCCATATACTGACACACACCTGCACAAGTTTGTATGCCGCTTATTCCCTGAAACTGGACATATAATCTGTGTCTTCAGCTGCAGCAAAAACTCAGCTGCCTCTTGGTACGGTGTTGTTTTAAGGGGAAATGTATCAGGTTACTCCTAGTTGGTGGTGTTGATCGGTGGTTTGGATTTGGATTTAAGCCCGTGCTTGTAGAATGGGGTTTGCCACCCCGAAAAACCTCCAAATCACCAATCCAGACCACCAACTAGAGGGAAGCCGAATGTACCCCCTCCTTCAAATACAGTGGATGAACGAAATGCTGCACACCTATTATAAGAAACCCTGGAACGAAGATTCCCCAGTCGATACCAACAAATAATGGTGTCAACCATGGTTTCATTTCGTGATGCGAAATGGGTTGCGCAACCATCCACAGTGCAACTTCCAAAAGCGGGGGTTTGGAGCAGGGGCACATTCAGCTTCCCTCTAGTACCACCCTTGTTTAGTCAGGGATACCCCGTACTCCACATCCTGAATAATTTGCTGGTGCTCAGTAGGGAGTTCTTGGAAAGGAACTGGAAGGGGATTCCCCTAAAGCAAACCACCACTTGGATTGTTGAGAGGCAGGGAAATCACCACTGTGATACAAGAGCCAGGGCTTCCCAGAGACTAACCCCCCATATAAAGGGGGAGATTCCCTATCACAGGAGTTGGGGTCAGCTTTCGAGCGATCCAACACTCAAGTAACCCAGATGGTGGTTTTGGATTGGTGGTTCGGATTTGGATTTGGACCCCCGGTTCTTGAAAGTTCGCGGAAGTTGGATAAGTTTCGAGTGATCCAACCCCCGTTAAAAATGGGGTCCTTCCAGGTCTGATTCCCTGCTCATGGCAAAGCTGCGACTCGGGGTGACTCCGCACCTCCAGGCGAGCGCTTCCGGCCCTACGAGGCGCATCCGGGGTACCAAGTCCTGGCGCAAGCGCGCGCCTCGGAGAAAAAGTTTGGCAGAGCTCCAAACTTTTTCGGGTCCGTTCGTTTTGCGGATGCCGAGCCTGCAAGGATTTGTTTTCTTTGTCTTGGAAAACCAGGGGGCTTCTAAATATTCCTAGGAACAAGTGGGTTGGAGTAGGTCGCATCCCCTGACTTGAGGTGTAGGCTCTACTCCAAGTATCGTTTCTTTTTCAACAAATTGTTGTTCGAACAGTCTGGGCCTTCCGCGGTGGATACACCTTTTTTAAGCAACCCAAGAAACAACAGCCAAAAAAGACAGTATCACGGTGCCGTTTGTTAATTCCCTTTAAGCAACCTCTAGAAGGTGGTTTCTCCCTCTCAGAAACCTCCATGATCCTTTTGCTTCCCCAAGAAGACAAGGAAGAAAACTTATTTTCCCCCGTTCCCCCCTTCCCTCTGCCCCCCCTCCCTCAAAGCAAAAAGAAACTTGTTCCCCCGTTCCCACAAAAAAAGCCATGTTGCTTGTTGCTTTTTGGTTTGTTGCTTGTTTCTGGTTGTGCCTTTCGCTTCCTTTTGTGGATTTCAATGGGCAAAAACAAATCGGACCACTCGCAACGCACTCGAACCCCTGGCTAACCAGTGTCTATGTTATATGAGAAACCAGCACCTTTTTTGGGTTGAGTTTTTGGGTTTGCTGAGTGTTACGCGAAGCCTTGGCTCCTCTGAGCTTCTAAAAAGAGTCCCATGTGAAACAAGCAAACAAAAAGCAAACAAACAAGCAAGCAAGCAAGCAAACAAACCAACAAAACCAACCAACCAACAACCAACTCTTTTGGGGGTAAACGATGCTTTTTTTCAACTTTTCGAAGGAGCATGGGTTCTGCAACGAAGATACTAGGTCATTAAATCTATTCTCCTTGAAAGGAACATGGTGGTTTGTTTGTTTTAGGCAAGGAAGATCTAAGATAACCCATGATTGGGGAAGTCGAAGGTCGGAAGTCCAGAAGCGATGCAACCCCTTGACCATATTCTCAGCCCCTGACTTAGACCAAAGAGTCACCTTTTGGGTGCAAAGCTGTGCACTTGTCTGTCCAAATCCGCTCGTGAAGCGAGGGGTTCCCCTTCTGAAGTGCTCTGATTCATGGGGTCCACAGGCAAAAACGTCCACGCACCTTTCTCAGGGTATAATGTTGACCCCCGATGGAAAGAGGTCATTGACTTGGGAAGCCGGGGGTTTTGAAAAACAACAAACCGAAGAACAAGTGGGTGTTCGGAGTAGGGTGAATATATGGGGCAAATTGACTGAAAACATGATGCTCCCAAGGGCTCATTGGTTTGAGAGCACCTCACACCCCCCACAATCATTTTGGCCCTAGGTGTTCCCTCCGGTTTTGCGATCTTATCGGCCACCTTGGTTTAGTCCCTGGTAGCATTGCGTCCTCTGCCAGGAAGACATTTCTGAGCTGCCCTCGTATTGTTGCCGGGTCCTCCTTCAAGACGATAGTCTGTTTTGCGGTAGGCGTTTTTGCGGGTACTCCTTTTTGGTTTGAAGGGACCACCGAAAGGAAACCACCATTGTTTAGGGTCCCCTAAAAAGGGACACACCCACATGTGACACAAAATCAGGCAGTCAGTTAATTGATTTTGGGAGTGGTTGGTCTAAAAAATCGAGTCGCTCACTAGGAACATGGCAACAAGTCAACATGTTCGGCCGTTAAATACATGCAAAAGCGAAGATCCAGACGTGCAATGCTTAAGCACTCGGCTTGAACTCGCAGTTATTTTGCCGCCTGTTTTTTTGTTGCATTCAAGTTGAGTTTCAATCAAGTGGATCACCAAGGTCCCTGCCAACCTTGAGTTGAACATAGTTACTATCTGAGGGGGATGACATGGGGCACACTCACCACAAGAACATCACCAACATTCCGTGTTGAGGACACAAGATATATGACCGTGGCTCATGGCACACATGGCTTTAATTATCTTCAACAATGCGACTGAGCAGCCAGCCGGACGGCCTGCTGACCAGCGCAGTGGTACACCCTAAGCTGGTTTTGCACCAACCCGAATCACTACCCCCCAAATTGATGTACCCCATGTGAATATTTGGAGAGTAGTGGGTTGGGGTTGAAATTTCACATACTGTGGATGGATGAAATCCTGCACCACCTAAGAAACCCTGGAATGATGATTCTCCCTGCCAATACCAATAAACAATGGTTTCCCATAGTTTCCAAGTGGTGCAACATGGATTTCGTCCATCCACAGTGTGTGCCATGGTCCTGTGTTATTTTGCATGTACCAAAGCAGTGGGTCTCAGTTGCGATTTTGACAGTGGTTGGACATTTTGTGCAACAAGGGTTTGCTTTAAAGACAATGGTCATTTTGGGTGTAACATATTTGTGGGTTGTGTGTCCCCCCGACGTCCGAAGACGCGTTCTTGCTTCCCCCTCCCTCCCTCTCTGTCTCTCTCTCTCTCTCTCTCTCTCTTTGTCTCTTTGTCTCTGTCTCTCTCTCTCTCTCTCTCCCTCCCTCTCTCTTTCTCTCTCTCTCCCTCCCTCTCTCTTTCTCTCTCTCTCTCTCTCTGTCTCTCTCTCTCTCTCTCTCCCTCCCTCTCTGTCTCTCTCTCTCTTTTTTTTTCTCTCTCTCTCTCTCTCTCCCTCTCTCCCTGACTCTCCCCCACTTCGTGCATGTCGCCAAGGATCTGAACGCCGGGCTGGCAGAGACAGGACGGCCAAGAGGGCTGAGCCTCGGCTTGATGCGCCGACGCCGGCGGCCAGAGGCCAACGAAGGTGGGAAGGCGTCTCCGGATCGGACCATGCGTGCCCAACGCCAGCCGCTGAGCCGGTGGATGCGCCAAAGAGAAGGTGGCGGAAAAAATGATGGAGCGAAAAGAAAAACCGCAGCTAATCTCAAGATGAAAAGAAAAGACAGATAGTAAGCAATAATAAAGAGATGCACGTTAATAAGACATACACTATTTCTGTAACATCAATCTTTAGGAGCCCAACAAAAATAGTATGATTTGATTGGAATCAATGTCAGCTTTTGACATCTCCATCAATCATGTTTACCTTCTAGAAGCACTTCTATGATTATATTGCGTGATTTCTATCCGCCCATCTTTCCGTCGCTTGTTTTGGTCCTGTCCCACCTGCATGTCTTTGTAGCTGATACAGTCAAAAGCGGAGCGGAGCAGGATGACTTACTTCTTTCTGTAGACCTTACATGACATTCATGTTTTCCCATCTTCCCCCAACTCATCCGACTCATCCTTTCCTCATGTGTCTTAGTGCTGAGAGGGAAGGCTGGGAGGAACCATCATATCATTTCTCCAATGCAGTCTCTCGGTTAAGGTACCAATCCTTCCCGAAATTCCTTGAGTTGGGGATGGAGCGATGTGATGGCGAAGGCTTCCCGTACCCGGAACTGGTAAGCCTCCATCAGCCGTTGCGCTGGGTTCAGCCTGGAGCCACGGACGGCTTTCAATGGCCATCCCTTCGAAAGGAGAATTCACCCGGAATTACAGGGGAGCAAGAGACTAAGAAAGGATACGGAAGCGAAAGGGTGGTGAGGGGCTGACGAGCGAGTCGCTAAGTTGGAAGTGCTCATGGGAAATACCTGCTATTTTGGTGGGTCTTCTATTTTAAAGATGACTGCAGAGTGTTCCCCACTTTGTCGGGTTTTTTGTCCACTTGGGTTGGAATCCTTGACATCATGGGTTGGAACCCTTGGATCAGTCTTGTCGGGAGCCAGGAGTCACCGACTTGCAATCGAAACCCAGGCGCTCGAGCCCGGTTTTTTCACCTCGGGGGTTGATGGAGCCCCTTCTCCCCCAATCGCCCCTCTTGGAACTACGGTTTCCCCCCCCCCCCCCAACCGCGGGGATTTCCTTTTTTCCACAAAGACAAGGGTTGTGGATCACAAACCTCACCCTTCGAAAGGCCCCGTTTATCGTGGGTGGTTCTCTTATATTTCTCCTAAGGTGGATGTGAGGCACCTTGGACCCACAACCGCCAATAAATGGCCGCGTTCAAAGAACCCTATCTCTCCAGATTGCAGTCTGGCGGTGCTGGTTGCGTTGTATTAGTTGAAATGCCTGCATATGCCTGCAGCACGTCCACCGCTCTCTCGAGAGCGATTTGGTGTCCTTGTGAGGGTAAACTTTCAGACTTTGAACTTTTGCCGATTCTTTTAGTGCCTGGAACCAAAATCAACGAACACCGAATACCACGCTTTGAAGCCCTTGTTGGTTTCCGACTCTTGTCCTAGAGGTTGTTCAGGTCCATTTCGGTGTGAGTATATTTGTTTTTCTATGGGTGCCCAATGTTGGTTTCCCGCTGAGCCCGCAAAAAGGGGCACTCTCAAACAAATACATAGGAGCCAGGTACATCTCACAAGCATCTACCGGTACATATACATGCGCATATACATATACATATACATATACATATACACATACATATACACATACATATACATAGACATATACGTATACATATACATATTGTATTGTAGTGCATTGTATTGTATTGTATGTCATGTTATGTTATGTTACGCAATGTTATGTTACAGTGTATCATATCACAGTACATTATAGTGTATCATATGACAGTACATTATGTGTTATTATATAAATACGTTACATTATATTATATTACTGCACCTAAAAAGTAGGTTATATGCTGTTCTATTACGTTATATTATGTTCTGCTATTTTATGCTATGTGTCATTGTGATATGCTATGCTATAATAACACATATTATGATATATTCCACTTCACTTTAATATATACGTAGTACATATAGATATGGATATTTTTGTATATATATGTAATGTGTAAAAACCTGATGTATAGTACAGTATATACACACTCCAATATGATGTGATATAATACGACATACTTTACTGTAGTATGATTTAACATGATATTCAGCGACAACATATCACAAACCTGCAAATGTCTAATACCACATGATACATTGTACTAAACCACTACATGATGCAACATAACATCATCTAATGTACCGCATCATAAGACAAACAATCAATATACCATAAACTCAAATGATACAATATATCAACATGTCATGTGATCATTATAATCAAAAAAACTCATACCCTCGTATACTACAATGCAATGCAATACAACTTACTATACTACGATACGATATAATATCATATGATATAATATCATATATTGTATACTATGATTTTCTACAATGATATACTACACCATGGCTAAATACCATATACATCACATAACAAATTATGATCATCGATTCAATACAGTAACATATTATGTGAAATGCACTACTATATTGTTCTATGTTATACGATACCTATTTGTTTTCCACCATGTGCTTGTTTTGTTGTTGTTTTGTTTTTTTTAATGGAGGAATCGTTGTTTCTGTCTTTTGTTTTTCTCGGGGAGGGGTCCATTTAATTTGTAGGGGGAGTGACCCATACTGGTATCACAGAACCAGGTTTTTTTGAAGCTGCTTTCGCCTGGCAAGCGCTTCCGAGGCCTGAGTTCTTGGCGTGGTGCATGACACGGCCATGCCAGGCGTGTGTACGCGTGGGCTCCGATACCGAGCTTATCCATGTTACCAAACGGGATACACGGGGAACCTGGCTGGATCACCCCCTTTGTGCTTTTTTGGGACCTGAGTTGTTTGGGTTCTCTGAAGGAGACCAGGAACAAAACACAAGTTTCGGGGCTCCCAGGGAAGCTCCATCGTAGATGGAGCATGCAAGGCCTTCCATTGGTTTCACCAAAATGAAAAGGCAATGGCCACAACTCTGAGATAGAGAGAGAGAGAGAGAGATAAAGAGAGCGATACCATGCCCCCTCGAGTGAGGGACCTGTTCTAAACAGTACTCCTGCGGCAAACAACCCCTTTAAACCACCTATACACTGGTCCCTCAATTTCCATTTTCTGGCCCTCCAAAAGTGGCAATTTTGTTGGACGCCACCAGTAAACTGCAACTTTTAAAGGGGAAATTCAGTCGCCCCTGTATACACAAGGCTCATTTTTTGAGCTTGTCACTTCAACTGACCAAGTTCAGCTGGCGGAAGAAGCTGGAGGAAAGCAACGTGTCTTGTTGGCTGAGGTAGTGCCATGCGAGGCCTAGTTTCGGGCTTTTCCAAGCTGAGGAAGCCCATTCAAGGGCGGGGGGGGGGGGGAAATCTGGAATCTTTCTCGAAATGATTTGACCTTTTGAGTTTTTTTTCCAGATGTTCTAGAGTCAACAAAAATGGTTTTCACGTCCTGGGACTGGCACCTACTCCCAATACCATATTCAACGACGGCTCTGCAGTTCAGCCCCGGTGGTCAAGGCCGCGCAGGTTAGATGCAAGACAGGCGCCACGAAGCGGTCGCAAGAGTGAAGCGTGTTGCCCTGTTGCCCTGTTGCCCGGCGACGAGCAAGACAGTCCATCTTGGGCTGTAAGGGCCTGAAGAATCAGAAGGTTGTGGGAGGACAATCAGGCTAATCATTTCGCCCCCCCAATAAAGAAATACTGGTGGTTGTCCCTCAGTTTTCCGTAACACCAGCCCAACAAGGATATTATCCAAATATATATAGATATATGTGTATATATATATATGTATTTGTAAACCAACTTTGGCTGAACATGGGTTGCCGTTTGGTCGGGGATTGTTGCTGTTTCGACTTCATGGATTTGTCTCAGAAGAGCAAACAAGCAGAAAGTACGTGGAGACACAACAAGTGCCGTTTCTTTCAAAGCCGCTTTTCATGAAACGGTATTCAACATATACGCCTCGGAAATCCAAGTATAGACTTATACATAATTATCAATGCATTTGTTTTTCAATGTCTATATGTATACATATATATATATATATATCTATCTAAAAGGTATCAATACATATATGATATATGTATCAATAAGTGTGTGTATATATATATATGTATATGTATATACATATATATGCTCACCCCCCCCTGCATGACCTACCTTTTAGCTAAAAAAAGCAGGATCTCATCTATCATTTGCCCCTCCCTTCATCGCTATTGGTGGGGCACAGCACTTGGTTTTCATTGCACACGCGAGCAAAACACAAAACTAATTAACTTCAATGCTTATTGATTGAAGCAATGGAAAACCTGTTCCATTATGTTATTCACCGCCACTCATAACATAATGATGTTCCATTTAATATTAATGACAAGTTTTTTTTAAATATCATTTTCTATATTTCTTTAATATCAACTATGACAGATGTCCCAATAATAAAACCAATAAACATAACTGAATATGAATTCAAACAATCCAAATATGAGCACGTGCTAAAATTACCATTTAGAAGTATTATAGTTGCTTCATCGACGGGAGGCAAAACAGTTTTAGTCCAAAACCTTATCTTGAATGTTTATAGAAATTCATTTGCAAGAATATTTATATTTTCCCCCAGCGTTCATAATGACCCAACTTTTACAGAAGTTAAAAAATACATCAGGGATGAATTGCACGTGGATGATGAAAAAGAACAAATTTATTTTGATAATTATAATCCAAGTGATTTAGAAAATGTAATTGAAAGACAGAAGAAAATAATTAATTATATGAAGTCTAAAAAGATAAAGAAACTACATTCAATATTAATCGTTATAGATGACCACGCATTCAATATTCATCGTTGTAGATGACCACGCAGACGATCCTAAATTTGTTAGATATAGTAAATTATTACACGGACTTTTACAAGGCAGGCACGATGCAGTAAGTGTAATTTGTTCAACACAAAATATAATGTTTTAGTGCCTATCATTCGTTTAAATGCCAGTTCATTAGGTTGAAAAATGCAAGTGAGTTAATGAGTTTTATTGAAGAAAATAGCGCCATTGTTGATAAACAGCAATTATTAGATATGTATCATCAAGCCGTTAATGACGCACCTTATAGTTTCTTCTACGTGAATATGAATGCTAAAGACATTAACAAAATGTTTCATATCAGATTTGAACAGGCATTTCAAATTACGAATGATGAATAAAGATATTCTAATTTAATATAATATAGTAATATGCCAATGAAACTATGTAGATGTGGTGGATTTTATCGTAGAGGTAATTGTAATTTTCATACTAATTCTTGGATACATAAACTTTATAAAGTATTGAAAAGAAGGGCAACAGACGAGGAATTATTAAGATGTCAAAATAATTTTGTTGATGAAGAAGATTTAATAGATGATATAAGTAGTACTACTTCAACAACAATACCAGAGGATAAAATGACAGATTATGATAGCAATCAATAATATTATTATATGTTAATATTATTAATTTAAATTAACGAAGCATTGCAAAATTGTAAGGCAGGAAGTTTATATATTAATTTGTCAGATTTTTCTTTCTCTAGTGTCTCAATTCGTGTCACACATTCTTGAAGAGATTTAGTAATTAAAGTGTCTGCTCGTGTTTTTTCTCTATACTTAAATTCTTAATGTCTTCCAAACTATTATTTTCATTATTTTTACTTTTACCAACACCCATTATATATGCTATAATTAAGATTTCAATTTTTCAAAATTATCTTTTTGTGGTTCTTCTTCTTCGTCTTCAGTTGGTGCTGGTATTTCTGTTGTGTTAGATGTCTGGCCCACGACAAAATCTTGGATTCTTGGTTTTCTCGAGGTTTTCTTGGTTTTCCTTGTTTTACTTGGGAATTCTTGGTTTTTTGCTGGAAATTAAAAAAAAAAAAAAAAAAAAAACTAGTAAATCTTGGTTTTTTGCTGGAAATCCAACAAACCCTAGTGATTCTTGTTTTTTTGCTGGAAATCCAAAAATTCCCAAGTAAAATCAAGAAAACCAAGAAAACCTCGAGAAAACCAAGAATCCAAGAATCCAAGATTTTCATGTAGATGTCTGGCCCACGACAAAATCTTGGATTCTTGGTTTTCTCGAGGTTTTTTTGGTTTTCCTTGTTTTACTTGGGAATTCTTGGTTTTTTGCTGGAAATCCAAAAAAACCCTAGTAAATCTTGGTTTTTTGCTGGAAATCCAAAAAAACCCTAGTAATTCTTGGTTTTTTGCTGGAAATCCAAACAAACCCTAGTAAATCTTGGTTTTTTGCTGGAAATCCAAAAAAACCCTAGTAATTCTTGGGTTTTTGCTGGAAATCCAAACAAACCCTAGTAAATCTTGGTTTTTTGCTGGAAATCCAAAAAAAACCCTAGTAATTCTTGGTTTTTTGCTGGAAATCCAAGAATTCCCAAGTAAAAGCAAGAAAACCAAGAACACCTCGAGAAAACCAAGAATCCAAGATTTTGTAGTGGACCAAACATCTACCTGAAAATCTTGGATTCTTGGATTCTTGGTTTTCTCGAGGTTTTCTTGGTTTTATGTGAAAAATGCTAAAATCCCAAGGAATTCTGAAGGTTTTACTGCAAAACCATCAAACACCTAGGGAATTCTTAGTTTTTGACTTAGGGATCTATCTGAAAAACATATCAGTTTTTACACTTGTTTTTTTGAATGCTTTCCTGTTTTTTTCTAAAAACAACATGGGTTTTTGCACATTTTTTGCTAAAACCATCAAACCACACTGGGTTTTCTTAATTTTTCAATGGTTGACTGTGTTGTTTTTTAATCGAAAACCATAAAAAACAGGTGTTTTTTTCACTTTTTTATTGTCTGCTAATGGTCCCCAACGACTTTTTGAAAGACAACGGTAGGTCATGCAGGGGGGGGTGACCATATATATATATATATAAGATATATGTAGGTCTGTTCATCCCTTTTCGGGGGGCAATTGGGAGCTCTCCGCGCCGACGTTTTCGCAGGAGCTGCCAGGCCTTCGAACGTGCGCCGAGATCGCGGCAGAGGCGATGGGACACAAAGCAGCGGTTGGGGTGGGGTGGGGTGGGGTGGGGTGGGGTGGGGTGGGGTGGGGTGGGGTGGGGTGGGGTGGGGTGGGGTGGGGTGGGGTGGGGTGGGGTGGGGTGGGGTGGGGTGGGGTGGGGTGGGGTGGGGTGGGGTGGGGTGGGGTGGGGTGGGGTGGGGTGGGGTGGGGTGGGGTGGGGTGGGGTGGGGTGGGGTGGGGTGGGGTGGGGTGGGGTGGGGTACCCCATATTGCCTCTCTCAACACACTGGAAGGAAAGCCCCAATCTCACTTCCGAGTTCCTGGCCTTAAGTCACTTTTGGGTTTGGACAGTTTGAGTGAGACATAATCAGTTTGAACTTGTTTTGGGCCGTCCACTCGGGAAGTGAGCCATACTTGCTGGTGCGAGAGGTGGGGAATGACCGCAGAGACGCCGCGGAGACAGCCATGGCTGAAGCTGGCCATGAGAGCTCAGTCTCCGGAATCCGGAAGCACAGCACGGCCAACGAACTGGGCCAGTTCTCCTTGGCTGCTATCCGAGTTGGGGCCAGCTTGTCCGAATTGGCCAAGTTTCGGCTTGTCAAATCCTGAACGTGCTTGGGGTGAGTGTCATCATGTGGCTGTGCGATTTGGACCGGGAGACCTTGAAGGAAAGGATGGACCAGCAGGGGCACTGTGGCACTGCTCCACATTCCCTGAGCATCAAGCATGTGGGTGGCTGTCTGTTTTCGAGGGCACCATTTTATTTGGGGTGAAGGGAGTTTCCTCGAATGGCTCCGTGCGAATCTGCAGGTCCCCCACAAATGATGCTTTGTTTTTTTGGTTTTCTGGCCTGAGACGCACTCGTCTGGAGACAACCCACAGCTACTTTGGTATGAAGCCATGACACTCAAGATTTGAGGGTATCCAGAATCAATCATCAGTCGTCCCATTGAGGGCCGCAACAACAGTCACTTTTTTCTGTAAGAAGTTGACGAACCAATCTGGAAGCTGATGTTGAACCATTTTGAACCACCAACTACCAAACACCATTGTTTGGTGATTCAACCTTACCAAACATGGGGGATTCAACCACCAAAGAAAACAATTATGATGTTGTTTCAAACACCAAACATGGGGTGGCTCGGGGTTCATGCCAGGCGCATGCCCTGTTCTGAGTATGGATAACACAAAGTTTTTTGCTCTCCGGGAGGTTGCTCCCTTTTGGCTTCCTGGTAGAACCATACCAAAAGGGATCCCTGATTTAGAGGCACACCCAGCTATTTTCCGGAGGTCTCCAAGCATACTTTACAGGGTAGACTGAATATGAAGAGAAGCATTATTATATACTTGTTTGGAGTACCCCAAACCCAGTTTCCAGCGTTCTCAGTACGTCAGTGGGAGATGTGGCTCGTGATCTTGCCACTTGAAACGGTCCCCGGTTGTGTTCAGGTTTTGCGAACTCAATGACCGAATCACAAAGGTCAACAATTGGCTCGTCCTCTTTTTAAACTGAGCATCAACTTTCTCACTACAAGGGTGGGGTGAGAAGAGCCTCTTTTCCTTCCTCTGGACGGGAGGCACGCAGATTTTTTAGTCGCCAACATGTGTGTGTGTGTGTGCGGAGTGGCAGAAAACCCTGCCACCAACACTTTTTCTTCAGCAGGGGGCGCAGGGAGTTTCAGCGAGTCCTGCGCCAACGAAGACGCTCGCTGTTAACTCGTGATATCCAGCCTGATCAGCTGGACGTACCTGCAATTGTGATGTTTGTGAATGTCCTTTTGGTCCCCTCCCTGAACCGCCGTTGCTTCTGCGTGTCCCTGTTAAAGTAGCTACAGGGAAGCCAAGTGTATTGCGAGCCAAAACTTATCGTACTCGAGACTCATCAGTTGTACTCGAATGATTAGCACCCTCCCTTGGGAGTTGAAGTGTGTGCTTTAGGGGGCCGCCCCCCCCAAAAAAGAAAGCAAATAAAGCCAGCCACCTGGGCGTGTCTGTCTTTGGGGGGCCTCCCCAGAAATGTGCGGTTTTATCTTTGAATTTCCTTTAAACTGCCCCGCAAAACCTGGGTTGTGCCTCAAAGGGACGAGCCAGAGATCAAATCCATGGAATATCAGGAGCCAGCAGTGGTCCGGGACCCGGGACCCGTCCCGAAATGGACGCGCGGTTGGCGGGCTTGGGGAGGAGTTCAAGGAGTTCAAGGGACCGCGCCTTTTTTTTGTGAAGCTTGGTACCCCTGATTTTGGTGGTTCTTTTACAGGGAAGCCAAAAGAACAGGACAGCCATTTTTTTTGGGGTCCCTACTTTGAGACGCACCCAAGTGCTGTTATTTTTGTTTCTTAAGGTTTGAACTACGGCACTCTTGGGCTGCTTTTTTATGGCACCCTTTTCAACTCAGAACCCACAGGAACCCACCATTGACACCGACCCTTTTCGAAGCCCCCTAAAGCCGTAGCTGTCGTTTCGCCTTCTCTTCAGACCTCAGATGGTGCCAACTTTGTTCTAATGTCTTTGGCGTTTCCTGCTGCAACAAGTGGTCGACCGGTCTCTTTTCACAGATCCGAATTTGAGGGCGCTCGAGACTGCTCTTGCGTCAAACGGGCGCCCGGAAACGGACCCAGTCGAAATGGACCCTCAGGGTTCCTCCTTGGATGCTCGTTGCCGAGTTAGAAAGTGGTTAGCCACTTGGCATGCAATGCCCCCCTAACAAGGTTAACCCCACTTAACAGGAGTGGGGTTACAACCTAGGTTACCAACAAGTAGGCTTTCTAGGTGAAGAGAATCAAGAATCGAGAATGGAGAGAGCCGCCTTTTGGGGAGGGAATGGGCAGGATTGCCCGAAGAAGGTCACTGGATCCTCTTGGTTTTGGTTTGGTTACTCTTTGGCTACGACCTTCAACAGTTTAACCTTGTGGAAAACGACGATTTCCCCGACCAGAAGAGTTTCCAACTTTTCACTGGACGTTCTTGACTACATGAGCTTGCTAAGACACGCTTGCGGAGTAAGGGCAGAGTGGGGCAGGCCGATTTTCACGGAGTAACACTTCCAATTCAGACTTGCCCAGTTGTGCAGCGCCAGATCTCCCTTTTTGTTTGGCTCCCCTCTAACGTCTACGGGTTTGGGGCGCTGCTCGTGTTGGTCCCCTTGTCCGACTACCCCAAATGGGTGTTCGAAAACACCATTGCTGCACCTTTGGTGTCTTCTGGCCAACGTGAGGCCCTTCCAGACGAAGCCCACCCTTTGGCCAACTTGTTGTCCTTGTGACTTTCCTGCATTTTTGTTTTCTAAACCAAAGGTGAGCTTTTGCAGGGCGTCCATCTGGCCTAGGAAAGGGCTCTTATGCCCTTGACATAGAACTCAACAAGCCGATCTATTTCACGAGGAACCTTGTTGGCACTTAAAAAACAGCGGAGAAGAGCATAAGGTATTTGAATGATCTTGGGCAGTTAAAGCTGAATTAAGTCATGATCATAAGAGGATGCCTGTACTTGTTAGGCCATTATATTTCCCCAGACCATACATTGCCACTCTTTTAACTCCTCTTTTTGCATCTGCTTGCCTTTACGGGTTCCTAAATGTTCCCCTTATCTTTGACCCCACACATGTTCCCACCTCTTCCCCCCTCCCCAACAGCAAGAAGCCAACCCCCCCGCCGCTCCTCTCCCCCCCCAACCCCGTCGACAACGGTCCCCCGTCGCCCAGCCCCGCCCTAAAGGCACCGACAGCGGCGGGAAGGGCAGCGCGTCTGAGACAGGGGGCAAGGGCACCGTGAGGCCTCGGAGCCAGCGGGGGCGAATGTTTCCTTCGGCTGGTGGGGTGATATCGGCTGAAAGGCCAGGGGATCCGTCTTTTTCGTTTTGGTCTTCTTTTGTGGGGGGGGGGCTCTCTACCGCTGTCAAGCACCCTGCCAGCCACTTTTGCCATGTGCTTGCAAATTCCAAATTCAGATCTTTGTTTTGGATTGGCATGGTTGCGGCGAGGTGCTTCGAACAGGTTTTCTCGGGCATCTGAGAAATTGCTCTTGATTGTCTCAAAACTGTTTTTTTGATCCTGTGTATTCCTTGGCGGTTTGCAGGCGTTCCCTTAGCTTTTTAGGTTGTTCGGGTTTAGTGGGGGTTTCCGTTTAACACACTAAAAGTATTTTTTCGAGAGTGCGCGTTGTTGGCGGCTTCAAAGGGCACCAACAGCCAGTCATTTGAGGGGTTTTTAGGAGCCCCTCAAATGGTTTCCGGCAAAAAAAACACCCCCCCCCCCAAAAAAAAAAGAGAGCAAGAAACAAAGTAAAAAAGAACAAACAAGAAAAACAATGAACAAAAAAAGGAAGAAGGGGATGCCCTCAAAAGCGGCCCCGACCAGATCTTCCGCGTTCGGCTGGCCCCGACCTCCCGCCTGTGGCTGGTTTTCGGTTGGAAGCAGGAACTACCGGTCTACAAGCGATCAACCAAGTTCTTTGTTTGGTTCCTTTTGATGTCTCCTATTCCTTTGGTTGAGGTCGGCCCAACAAAAATTCAAATCAAAACGCGACAACAGCTCCACGCCCGACCTTCCGCCGCGTTTTCGTCCCAAAACGCCGGCGTATCTGGCTTGGGTTCTCAACCAATAGGCGTCTGCCCAGTCCTTTGGTTTTCAACGGGTTTTCTCTTCAAATGGGCGTGTCATTTTTTAATTTGGTCCCCTTTCCGAGGTTGGTTTTTCCGGGACACTGAAACGGAACCCCTTGCCAGTTATTTTTTTTTGGGGGGGGGGGGGGCGGGCGGTTCCCCTATTTTACTCCACACCAACTCTCCTTTGGCCAAACTCCAGCCGCGTTTTGTTCGACTCCAAACCAAATCCACCGGCTTTTCGTCCCCATCCCAACGTCGGCTCGCGCGCCCGTGGGCTCCCGGCAGCTCCTGTGTCGGCCAGGCGCCTGGGGCGGAACCAGAGCCCCCACTCTGAGAGCTCCACTCCCTCGCTGATGCCCCCCGTGCCGCCGGCCCGGGACCCAAGGGACCCCGGGACCCAAGGCTCACCCGGGACTCACCCGAGAAGGGAAAATTGGGGGAGGGCCGAAGCTGGGAACGGACATGGGAACCCTCGTGCTGTCTTCTTCTTCTATTTTTGTTATAATTTGGTTCCATGCGATTGAGGTGATTCGTTTTGACAGATTCATTTGGTTTTCATACTCAGCGTGATTCGACGACAACCCCCCAAACAAAGGACAACATCACGACATACCCACGAAACCTCCCCCAAAAAAAGAGCAGCAAAGAGCAAGGCAACTCGCAACCCCGCCAAAGTTCACAACTCGGTCCGGGCCCTGGAAGAGGGTTTCTTTTTGGGGAAGGCCTTTTAAGTCAACCAGCCAAAAGAGGATGCCCTTTTTTCCCCTGGTCACTGCGCATCCCGGAGTGGTTCGGAAAGGTTGCCGAACAGTCCGCATCTTCCAAGGCTGTTGGGGGTATCACTGGATCTATTTTTTGGTTTGGGGACGTGTCAACTTTCAGAGGCATGGGAACCCAAGCTCCGACTCTTTCTGGTTTCCCACAAACAGAGGCGTACTAAATTTCCCATGTCCTCTTGCTCCCACTTGTGTTTCAGATGTTTTCTTTCTTTCCCCCTGTTGGTTTTGAAGGAATCTATCCCTACCTGACATCGTTATTACTATTCTCTTTTTTCCAGGGGAGATATCCCAGATGGAGGCTTGGGAACACCTTCTTTATTTTTTAGCCGTGGCTCAAGTAGGTTCTCTTGAGGCACAACAGCGCAGAGCAGCGTGGACTGCGAGCTTCAGGGTTCTTCACCTGTTCGGACCCGAAAGTATCGGCCAGGGCTTGAGCACTCACGAGGCTTCAGGTTTGAACACGCTCCCTAAAGCATACATTTAGGCCGGTCAAAGAAACATACCTTTGCCGGCTCGTCCCCTTGTGGTTCCAGGAGCAACCCTTCAAACATCCAATGCTGGAGTTTCCCAAGCTGGAGTTCAGACCCCTTGCTGGTTGGTACTTGAAGGGAAAGCAAAAGGAACTCCTTGCCATTGCTGGCAATTGAAATGTCTTGGTTCGAAAACCACCCACATCACCAACGCTTTCATCCATGGTTGTGGAAAGCTGGGTTTTAGGGCTGCTTGTGCTGCCAAGCTCCTTTAACCGCTGCAAAGTAGTCATAGGGATTGCTCTCTTGTAGGAAAATAAGCAGATGCTCACCTGCCCAAAGCCGACCAGCCAACCTTTGACCATTTATTTTGCCCCCTGTTTGGTCCGTTTCTGGTGAAAGTGCCAAAAGGTGATCACCTTTTATTTCGGAGTCCGAATGGGCACCTGAGCCACAATCAAAACTCGGGTAAGTGCAGGTTAGTAGCGATCCCAGCCATAAATAGCTGCGGATATCCGCCTTAGTTCTTGGGTTTTGAGCAAGTGACTCAATGGGGCTCTGTGAATCTGCGGCTCACATGTTACTTATTCATGACACCCCCGCCCACCACTTTACCTGAGGGGGGGTCCCTTCCTCAAGTGACTGGGCACCTGAGGATCTCGGGTCCCCGCAGTTTTTGGGCAGATCTCACGCCGCCGAGCCCCCGAGCCGCCGAGGCAGCGCAGATGTGGTCGACGGACGAGAGCAGCTTTGACGAGGCGACCGGAGCCGCGAGTCGATACAAACCTCACTCCCCGAGTGTATGGACTTTGTGCTTTTCGGGTTTGGACCGGTTTTGTTTTGGTGTGTGAAGTATTTGTTTTTTTCCGGCCAAGTGAGACACCGACAACTATCTTATATTTTAGCTTAGACGAAACATGAAACATGCTCTGAGCGTTTCCAGGCCAAGCTCAAGCGATTCTTGGTTGTCCCAGCCATCTTTTTTTTTTGTAGATTTTGTGGGTTTCGTGGTAGTTTCCACCAAGCTACTAAAAGTTAAACTTTTAGCTGGGGGCCTGGGAACAGCCCATGTTCGCTGCTCGTAAGCCCAAAGCTCGAATGGAGGTCAAGAAACAGGTTCGGGGCCGTATCACAACTCTTGGGCTCCCTTTTTGGACCTCCAAAAGTGGCAAGTTGAAAGGAACCCACCAGTAAAATATAAAATGTCCAGTGACCCCTGTTTTGAGCTGGAAAGCCGCAAAGGAGTTTTGGATTGGACGTGCTCAGGGCTAGGCCTTTTTTGTGAAGTCACCTCCTCTGGGGGGTTCAATAGGGCCGCCAAAAAAGCAGAGGGGGTCATAGCTTGCGCAACTGCCCCAGAGGTGCCAAGTCATTGTTGAGCTTTTTAGCTCGCTGTGCGCACTCGGCCTATGCTGTCCACAATGATGTGAATCCTCGTGACTTCAAAGTGGCTATCGCGGTAGGTGGCTTGACACAACTGGAAGATTTGCGGGCCTACGCGCAGGTAGTCTCCGGTTGCCAGAAAGCTGGCATGGAACTCAAGCATCTGGGCTGGTCTTCGTTGCGCATTGCATTGTTCGTCAGTCCGTGCGACACTTGGCAGAAATCTTGCAGGCAGCCCTGAGCGGGCGGAGCGCGTGGGGCGCTTCCCTGCCCCCTTCGTGCGGTTTTGGACACAGCCCTGGCCCCTTTCACGCGCAGCAGCCACCTCGGCCCTGGTGCCTTTCAATGTGTCAGGTTTCTTCGCCATTGCTCTTGACCAATATGAGAGCGAGGACCCTGGCCTTTCCGGAGTGCAAATTAGGGAGCCCAGTCTCTTGGCTCGTGCGAGCGAGGAACACGCGCGACAGGAGCTTGGTGCAAAACGAGATCTCTTCTCGCCGACGAAGCCGCTGGTGCTGGCAACGAGCGTTTCAAGTTTCGCTGGCCGTTTTTGCAGCGCCTGCAATGTGAGGAAAACACCGCCGTTCTCGCGGTGTTTCTTTTTTTCTTTTGTGTTTGTTCATGGGCGCTGGCCGGCAGCTTGTAAGCATTTGTGAGCGTCTGAACTTACTTGGCAACGGTGGCTCGGGACCAGGGCATCGGGACACCTAGAGTCACAGCAAGCCAAAGCAACAAGTTTCAATTTACAGCAGCCGGCTAAGGGCAAGCTTGCGTGTCAAAGTGGCTAGCGCTTCGGTGACATAGTCGGCGCATGCAATGAAGAGAAAGCGCGCTGATGCTCATCCCTATGAGTTCAAGCTTCCGCCCTTGACTTTGACAGCATTCCCATCCAGATCAAAAGCAAGGGCCGAGCCTCAAGGGAGTTGCTCCTGTCCCTGTCCGTGGCAACACTACAGAAGTACTTTCCGAGTACTCCTGTAGGTGTGTACGCCCCTGCTGGCCACTTGAAGCAGTATACCAAGTTCTTGGCTGGCTTACAGTTGGACAACCAGGTCACTGTGATCAAAGCACCCAGTTGGACAACTTCATTGTGGGCAGTGTGCAAGTGTTTTGTTTTTGTGTTGGCTGGCTCTCCTCATGCGTAGTGGGTTTGCGAAGTATGTGCTATCTTGAGCAAACGTGCTATCTTGACCAAACAAGCCACCCCCCAGTGTTCTCTCATTTCTTGGAAGCGGGGTCCATGTCGAGTGGATGAAGGTTCGGCCGGTCGGACTTTGGACGTCAGGCCGGCGAGGACCGTTACCTCTTCGGCGAGAGCAGGCCGGAGAGTTTCGGGTCTTCAACTTGGTTTGGACGGGACCCCTTCAAAATCAATGTCGGAAAGCGGAGTGCCTATGGTTCTCGTGATGATGACGACGAGGATGATGACGATGATGATGCTAGGCTGAGGCTGAGGCTAACGGTGACGCTACGGTGACGGGTGGTGGGACGGTGGTTGTGGTGGGGATGATGAATCAACTACCAACAAAAAGAGTGCCAAGTCTTTTTTGGTGGAAATCCACCAAGGGTCTGGGTTCCCTGAATCAAAGTCCTTGGCGATGTTCAGGGAAACATGGGAGGGGGGGGCTTCGCAAAATGGAATCTGGACCCCTGTTGGTGTGAAGGGAATACAGAAGGAAACCAACTGTTTCCGGGACCACGATTTTCACAAACACCCATAGGGGGCCATGAGAAAAGGCGGAAGGTCTGATTGGGAGTTGTTGTTTTTCGGGAAGGGAAGAGTCCTGGAAAACTAGAAGTAGTGCAATTTGGGGTCATGCCAACTCATTCCCTGCCTTCCGATCCAGCTCTTGCTGCTTGCTTTCCGTAAGCTCGAGCTCTGCATCTTGGGGTCCTTTTTTTCCATGGGGCTGTGGGTCAAAACCAATGGTACCATTTTGGGGTAGGTGCACCACCCATTTTAGAACCCATTTTAGTGGGGATTGGGATGCTCACCGGGTACGATTTGGATTTTGACCCATGGCCATGTAGGTCCAGTGGTGAGTCTTCCCATGGGCAACACACACGAGCCGCCAGGGTCAGCGGCTACATGAAGCGCCGTAGGGCCTCTAGAGCAGAAGGCCCCGGAGAAAAACACCGCACGCCTCGAAGGTTTTGGCATGGATTCGGTGGCGAACGGAATAGATGAACTTGGATTTTGGGAGGAAAGGAGAGATCCAGGATATATTGACTGTCATTTAATGCAAAGGAATGACATTTGGTACAGCCATCGCATTGCCACTAGAAAGCGATGATCGCTCATCAAGTTTTCCCATGTCACTGTGCGGAAATTCAGCCGGGTGAAGTTTGGAGCTCCTTCCCCTTCCAAGAGGGCTCGTCTCTTTTTTGAGGGCCCTCCAGGCTTGGTGGGTTTCCTTTTTGTTGGTTTCTCTTTAGAACCACGAAACATGGGACACCCCAACAAGCGAAAAGAAGGTAGCCTGATCCCCCGGCAATGTCAGTTCTCTTTGAATATGCGGCTCACATGTCACTTAATAATGAACCCCTTCCACTTGTTACTGAGGGGGGGTTCCCTTTTTTGGTGGGGAATCCCTTCCTCAAGGGGGGACCCTGATGAATTTCTTGTGGGGGGGTTATTCATCAGGGGTCAAGTTGAAGCACACAGAAGCATGAGTAGAAGGGCCAGTGATGGGGGTTTGTTTCTGACAGGTTTTGAAGGTTTTGGACCGTGGCGAAAAAAGATGTGAGCTTTGGTCAAACTTGCCTGTAGTCTATGGTTACATTTGGGAGGGACATGGCGGACATGGAGGATGAGTCTTCCAAAATTTGCACAGAAGCCAGGGAACGAGCCCCAATCGTCCCATGTCCTCTTGGGGAAACCGTCGTAAATTTGTCTGCGCCGCAAGTGATAAAGTAGGGATGACCGACGTTGGCATCACTTCCAATTCTTCCCTTCCACACGCTAGGATACTGTGGGTGGACGAAATCCTACAGCATGCAAGAAGCCCTGGAATGATGATTCTCCTCTAAATACCACAGCGGACACAGGTGGTTTACTCCATTTAGCGAGCTTCATTAATTTCATCCAACCTGGTGCAGGGATTTGTTTGTCTCAACAATCTGGGAGCCCCCAAAAAGGGTTTTTGTTACTGGGTGCCACCCCAAAAAAGTGATTCATCCGTTTGGCCCACAGCATGAACGTTGGAAGAGTGCCTGGTTTTGACATGGTGTGTTTTCTCGGGGGGGGTCCCTTTTCTGTGGAGAGACGCCCAAAAGAAGCCACCTAGCCCAGTTGCGATCGAACTACTTTTTCCCGGACGAACCTAAACATCAGTCACAGTTGCATCTCTCGATCCACATGTCCAAAAGCTGGGGAGCGAGCAAAGGGCAAAGGGGTGTGTCTTCTTTGAGGATCAGGAAGACCAAAAGCAGCACCCGCCATGTGAGTTTTGGTTTGGCGTTTCGTGTGCTATCTGAACCCCATGGCTTGAAGTCGCTGCTTGCGGTCCGCGTTTTGGGTAGCGCCTTCCATTTGCTGAGAAGCATATTTTGTATTTCCCCTTCAAAGCGAAGACCAAGCTAAGCTAAGACCTCTTTTGAAATCGACCATTTGCTTAAGAATATGATTTGTATTTCCCCTGGTTGGTTTGAAAGAGAATCAGTTTCACCACCGGACATATTTCCAGATTTTTGCTGGTGGGCGAGAGAACAGATGGAAGTCACCCTAGGGGGAGAGAGCCTTTGGGGAAAGCAAAAAGGCACCCAAAGTAATGTTGACCCTCTATTAATCACCCCCAGTTTATTAATAGGGGGTGTCCCTGGGTTTAGTGGAGTGGGGAATCATCACTTTTAGAGGGGAACACCCCCCCTAAAATGGGTGTGGCTCAAAATCAAAGAGCCAGGGCCAACCGCAGGTTTGAGTCTTTGGCTCTATTTGCCCAGGGTGCCATTTTGGTTTCCATGTTGTCGAGCGAACCACAGCCATATGAATGACCCCCATCTTATTGGTAGGGGGAACACCCCCCTCTAAAAGTGATGATTCCCCACTCCACTAAACCCAGGGACACTCCTTACTAATAAACTTCCCCACTCCACTGAATCCAGTGACACTCCTTGTTAACGAGCTTCCCCACTCCACTGAATCCGAGGAATAGAGGGTCCACATACACCCAACTCTAAACGTCATGATTCCCCACTCCGCTAAACCCAGGGACACCCCTATAAACTGGGGGTGATTAATACACCCCCCTCTAAAAGTGATGATTCCCCACTCCACTAAATCCAGAAACACCCCAATTTTCATAAACTGGGGGTGATGAATAGAGGGTCCACATCACTGCACTCATTTTAATGCCTCGACTAGGACCGCGGGAAGCTCCGGCCGCACCCTCGCCGTCTGCCTGCGCGTCCTTGCCGGCGACCAGCTCGAGCGCAGGCAAAAATGAGGGGCGGGGGAATGGAACTCACTTGGGTTTGTGTTTCTTGAGGTCACCCTCTTTAGGGTGGCTACAAAAAAAAGTGAGAATTCAAAGGGACACCACCATGTTTGGGGGTCGGCTATTTTAACAGACATCCACTTGACCAAAGCAAGTCGGCTTGTTGAGCTTTGGGTTTCCCCTTTTTGGTCCACTTGTAGTCACCCAAACGGTGATCACCTTCTATTTCGTCCGAAGTGGGCGACTGAGAAATGAGGGGCCAAATACTGGCTGACATTCTGGCCCTATCATAACTCAACTTGGTTTCAAGAGTAGCCCACAGTCCCAGTCTAGTTCTTTTCATGGAGCTTTTGATGGGTGGTTTCGGATTCGTGGCTTGGATTCGAATTCGTGGCTTGGATTTGGACCCCTGCTTCTTGCAGAGACGAACTGGGGAACTGCGCAAACCCAGCAACTCGAGGTTCAGCTGAAAGTTAGGCCCTGGGGCCCTGGGGGCCCTGTGGCTGTGGGTCAAAACGCATGGGATCCCATTTGGGGGGAGCTGCACCACCCATTTTAGAACCTATTTTGGTGGGGATTGGGATGTTCACCGGGTACGATTTGGATTTTGACCCATGGCCATGTGGGTCACAAACCTCCAAGGCTGGGGAGTGAGGAGCGAATCCTGGGCATAAGTCACCTGCGAAACTTCGGCTTTAGGGGAGATGAAGGAAGAGGAAGGAGATGACAGGCGAAGGCAAAAAGAAAGTGACCCGCCTGTTCATCCTCCTTCCCTCCTTCGCATTCACATTTTTTACATCTCTATCCATCATACCAGCCAATATTAACTCTGAGAATTGGCTGGTGATGGGGATGAGCCCAGGCAACTGTCGAGGCGAATGAGCCAACGGGAGGTTGCGGAAACAAAAAACACGTGTGGACATGTTCAAACGGGGCGGCGCCAGCATTTTCTAGGGCTGGAGTTGGGTGATACCAACTCCTAGTGCAGCGCCATGGCTTCTCCAGAGAAGAGCGATCATAGAATGTTAGATTCCGACATTTTTTCGACTCTTCTGCGGTATTTCGATGATCAACCTAGGTACTTGGTTCGAGGTTGATTTTCCAACCAGTCCTTTCGGCCGTGCTTTTTCCGCCACTTCCCGTGAGTTGGCTCGGCCTTTCGGAGCGGATCAGGTGGTTGGCCGCGAACGGTTTTTGGCTCCACCCCCTAAGGCTAGCCACCCGGACGAATACAAGTGGGGACGAATACAAGTGGGTAACCTAGGTTGTCAAGCAACTTACTAACTTGGGACTGTGGGCTAATTACTTTAAGCCAAACTTCTCATGATTAGAGCAGTCGCCTAGTAGTGACTTAGCCTCTTATATTGCCTTCTCTTATTTTTTTTTTTGGGGGGGGGTTTGCGAACTTGTCATGGCGAACGCTCCTTCAAGCACCCCGCGCTAAGTATTGTTCTTGCTTAAAATCATGGAGCGCCCGGTAAAAAGAAGGTTTCCTTCTGGTTTCCCTTGAAAGCAAGCCCGAAAAGGGAACTCAAAAAAAGACGGGGGTTACGGGGGAAATCGGGAATACCCAAGATGTACGATTTGTTTAAGGCCTCGGTACCGGGTTTAAAGGGGAACCGAGGAACCCCGCCATTTTGGGGCTTCGATTTCAAAAAAAGGGCAGATGCTGGTAAAGCAAATATGCCTGACCCTTTTGGTGTTTGAAATCCATTCCCGCAGTTTGGAAGGAGAGAGGGACTGCTAGTCGAATCTTCTCATCGGGGGACTTGGCCGACCAGCTCCCTCTCAGGGGCCGAAAGCCCGGGCCGCCACGTGGGGCGCTCTAAGACCGGCGCCCGCAGGTGAGAAATCGGAAAAAACCAGGGAATACACGGATCCAAATGATACAACGGCCCATATACTGGCCAAAATGGATGATTTCATGGTTTACTCCCATATTCATCAAAAGCACCGGAATACTCTATTCTCATTGTTTAGGCGCGTATATGTATTAGAAATGGGGTCGTCATCGTAAGACCATGCGTGTAGTTGTTTAGGCCCTACATGTTGACTCCTGTTGAACAAACCGCTCATACTAGGGAGTGTTCCCCTCCAAAAGCGATGCCCCTCCCAAGAAATTCAACTAGGGGTTCCACAAATCCATCCACGGTTCCCGCTTAGATCCAGCGAGCATCCCTTTGAGTCACCGGGGAAATGCTTGTCCACCAGTTGGGATGGATG